CCTGTGTCCTTCCAGTGAGCAGCCGTGGCCATCACTACAAGCCTCCACGATTGCTTCTGCGATTGTCCCGTTTCTTTCTTTGAAACAATGTAATTGGGACACGAGTTCAATCATATCAAGAGGAGTTGTACAGTCATGACCACAACCGATTTGAGAACATTTTCTGCTTTTTCTTGTACGATTTATTATTAGCTCCCCCTTCCCCCGCCCCCTCCCCTGCTATACCCCCAAGAAACTATTCATTCAAATCACTGTTTCTATAGATTCACTCAGCCTGGATGTCGCATACCACTTCTGTTTAGCTGAAGTGGCCCTTTCTTGGAACATAACAAGTGTCCCTGCAGGCAGGTACTGTGTCCCTGCTCTGGGGGCTCTGGTCTTTAGGGTTCCTGCTGTTCCCCTGCCCCAGGGCACAGTTCTGAAGTGGGCCCACATTCCAACCTCTGGGCCAGCAGCAGTGGGATCTAATATCTGCCCCAAGGGTAGTGGAGTGCCTGCTCTCCCCCTCCTCCTCCGATTCAGGCTTTGATTCATTAGGGAAGTTTTGACGTGGCGTTTCTCCTCTCTTCCATAGTGGGTGCTACCCTCCTGACCCCCATCCTGACCCGGTTCTGTGCCAGAAGGAAGGCGTTGGCAGAACACTCCAAGTCCTTTCTGAGTGTTCAGTGGGTTTCCTGGAGGAGAAACCTACAAGCGGGTAAGGATTCCCCCACATTTCAGTTCCCCAGGGACTTACCCATCCTTGGCCAGTGTACCTTAGACTTTAGCAATTTGCTAATCACTAGAGTGGATTCTTCTGACCAGTGACTGGCAGATCAATAATTGAGTCTTCTTTCTGCCCGTAGGCGCTCACCATTCCCTTGATTTCTGACTAGAATCTGGCTGCCCTGTCATCTCGGCACTCCAGTGGGTTTGGGGAAGTGGTCCAGCTTTCTTTTCAATGTAAGTTTTGCGGTGACAATTTTTCAGCTCGCTACATCTCTGTGTAGAAACCAGAAGCCCCCTTCCTTTTAAAATCTATCTCTCCCTTTCCCCTCTTCCCTGCAGAGCTAGAAAAGAATGCGGGCTCTGAGCCCCATGTCCAGATAGTCTATTGAATCGTTTTGAGGGGGGCTCTAGGGAGTGAAACTTGCTGGGGTGGGGGAGGGGGGCTCTAGGAATTGGTGAAATTGTGATTACACATCGGGCTGCCAACTGCAAGGGCAGTAGTTTGAAACCACCCGCTGGTCCTTGGGAGAAAGATGAGGCTTTCTACTCCCATAAGGAGTTACAGCTTTGGAAACTCACAGGGGCAGTTCTACCCTGTCCTATAGGGTTGCTATGGGCCAGTATTGACTTGATGATAGTTTTTTTTTTAAAGGAATTGATAAAAAAATATATCTCTCTATCCAGATTGTTATAATGTGTAGCTTGGATGGAGAATGTCTTCTCTTGGTAGAAAACGCAAGAGGACAATGGCCTGGCAGTGTAAATGAATTGTAGATGGGGGGATTGCAGTCGGACTGTTTGGTTTTCTGGGAGTATCACAGTTTGCATAGCACTCGATGGAATCAGAAGAAGGCCTGGGTTCACCGAGGAGTCCCTGAGGAATGCCGAGTTGAGCACTGGATTAGAAGTTTGGAGGTTTGAATTCACCCAGAAGCACCTTGGAAGAGAGGCTTAGAGATTTACTGCTGGAAAACCAGCTACGGAAAGCCCCTGGAGCCCAGTCTGACTTTGACAGACCTGGGGTTGCCAGGGGCCACAATTCACTGGATGGCCACTGGCTTGGGTTTTGTTTTGTTTCTTTGTTCATCAAAGGCTGTTGGAGGTCTTGCTTATGTGCTTGTACCACGACCCACTGGCATTTGAGAAGTTCATACCATGTGGTCCTTGTCTTCAGTGGAGCAAAGAAGAAGGGTTCATTAGTGTCTGGGGTTGGCTTAGCAAACCAGTCCTGCAAATGAGTCCCAACACACCCACGTGATCTTCACATGTGGCCTATTACTTTGGAGGAGACAGTGGCCAATAGCTGGGTAGGACAGACCATAGCCCCATGGCAGAGGGGGGGACAGTGAGGGGGCATCCAGAGTGGATGTCCTAACATGCTGAACTGATGTTTAGGGGGAAATTGATTCGGCTGGGTCTACCTTCTTATCAGGAAGGTAAGGATTGGATGGTTCATCTCTCAGCCTCCTCTGCATACGGGCGGGTCTTCCTCTGGCTTGGGCCTGATCTCCACCCCTCTTTTCTTCCCACCCCACCCAGGCGTCTTCCTCGCCACAGCTCCAGCTTCTCCTGGAGGAAAGGAGCCCTCCTGCTGCTCGTCCTCCTCTTTTTGGAGCCAACGTCAGCGTCCTTGTTCTTCAAATCCAAAAGTGGGTTCTGGAAAGCCGCAGCTGCCATCGTGTAGAAGGCCTTCTTGTGGACGGTGGGATTAGACATGGGGCAGATTCCAGTGTCAGATGAGGCCACCTCTAGGCCCTACTCCCTCACTCTGAGTGTCCCCAATTCCCCCCTTACCTGTTCCTCCAAAGGACTTCCCTAACCTTTCCTGATCCATGACGTCCTCACGTTTAACTGCTTTAAGGAGCCAGCTATAAGGCAGGACTCCTGGTGACCCAAGGGTTAAGTGCTTGACTGCTAATAGGTGGGCAGTTAGAATTCACCCAGGGGCTCCACAGAAGTGAGGTCACAGACTAGCTAACCCCACGGAACAGTTCTTACGCTGTCCCATGGGGTCACTAGGAGTCGAAAGCTGATTCAGCATTACTTAACCACAACACACAACAGATAGGAGCCTGAAGGCAGGGGTGAATGAGGTGGGTGTTGCAGTGGTTGTGGAGAGAGATGGAGGAGGGATTGGGTGTGACCTTGAAGAAGTGGTAGCAAAGAGAGAGAGGAGATGGGCTTTAGAGACAGGTGGAGGAGACAGCATTGGCAGAAGCCATGATTGGATGCTGAGGTAGCAAAGAGAAAGGAGGGAAGGATGAATTCCAGGATTGGGTGCTGATGGCAAATATCAAAATGGAGAATAGAGGATCAGAAGGCACTAGTCCAATTTTGAATAATTAGAGACATATTTTGAATTTTTTATGGACCAACCATATTTTGAATTTTTTATGGACCAACCATATTTTGAATTTTTTATGGTGTTTTCCCTGGGCAACTGGAGATAAGGACCTTAGTCCTCGAAGGGCAGATCGGTTTGTAGGAAGATGTGGGACTCACAGTTGGGTGGGAGGAAATGGAGCAGTGACAGCAGATCAAAGCCAGAGCTCTAGGAAATACCACAGTGAATGCCAGAGAAGTCTGGGGTGGAGGGTGGCTCCTAGGAGAAGACTGGACACCCAGGTAAGTGGCTGAGAAGGGTGGCCAGGGAGGCAGGAGGAGTCTCCAGGAGAGCTCACCTGAAAGGGGCAAAGAGGAGAGATTGGCTGAAGTCCAAACAAGTGGCTCCTACAAGCAGAAATAGGTGAGGTTATCACTTCCCAGGGAGGTGGTATGTCCTCACGATCCCTAGGACCACCCCCCCACCACAAGTTTTTTTACATATGCACAAGAAAAATGCAATGTTCACCTTGTGAAAACTGTATACTTCATACATAGATGCACACACCCATATACCACGTATACTCGAGTATAAGCCAACCCAAATATCAGCTGAGGCACCTAATTTTACCACAAAACCTGCATTAAGAATGTGCTGAAAAACTCGGCTTATACTCGAGTATATACGGTCTATATGCAACTACACAGTGAAACATCAAGTCCAAAATGCTGACAGTTGTGTTAGGCCGGGTTGACTTAGAGAAACTAATCCAGTGAGACTCATATCTGTAGCAGAGAGAGCTTTATATCAAGAAGTAATTATATATCAAGAAAACATCCAAAAAAGGAAAGAAAACATTCCAGCCCAATCCAACTCAAGTCCGTAAGTCCAATACGAGTCCATAAATCCCTCTTCAGACTCACGCAGTCACATGCTATGATGCAGAATGCAGAAATCTCACAGGCTGGTGGGTGCAAAGTCGTGTGGATCCAAAGTCCATAGGAAACATCACAGGGCTCCAGCAAGTCTCAGGGTGGCCAGCAAGCAGGAAGGTGAAGGCAGAGAGCTAGGGTCCCCTTACTAGGCTGTCTTTTTACCCTCTGGACCGGTTCCCTATTTGATTTGGTTAACTTCCTCTGAGCCCAAACCAACAACAATGGTTCCCAAGTAGTCGACTACCCCCTGGTGCCCAGTAGACTACTTTTGGGGGACTTAGAGCACACTTAAAATAAGAAAAGGCATCTTAAATCACACTTTAGGGAGCCCTGGCAGCACAGTGGCTAAGTGCTGGGCTGCTAACAGAAAGGTTGGGAGTTCCCAACCACCAGCAGCTCTGCAGGAAAAAGCGATGGCAGTGTTTGCCCGTGGAGATGACCGCCCTGGCTCTCAACAACAACCACAACTACTAAAACAAAAAGATGGCACGGGCTGGGATATCCTATGGAGGAAGTTTAGTCTGTCCTATAGGACTGCCGAGTTAGCATGAACTCGATGGCAATGGCAATGGGTTTTAATGGGTTATGTCTCACTTTCGGAGTCCCTGGGTGGACTCCTAAATGATGAACACACTCAAGTACTAATCAGAACGTTGGCAGTTCGAGCCTATCCAGAGGTGCCTCAGAAGAAAGGCCTGGCACCCTGCTTCTGCAAGGTCACAGCCGTGACAGCTTTGTGGAGTGTCGTTAGGCTCAGCACACCTGGAGCTGCACACCATGAGCCCAAGCCCACCTGATGAGGATGTGTACCTTTTGGGGGGCCGAGCCTCATTTTCGGGAGATTTGGATGCAGACCCCAGCTAATGTGTCTTTTGAAAGATGTGCAGATAATTTCCATGTACTCGCCAGGATGGGAACCAGATAGCCTTTTTAGCAGCAGGCTATCTTTGGAGGCAGCATCGAAGGTGAGATGAAGCAATAGAAGTGACAAGTACCGAAAGCTCGAGTAGCCAGTCCATGGGAGAGGCACAGGGCTTCCCGGGTGAGTTATGGGTTGTGAGTTCTACATCTGACCCTCCTTCACGGTCTTATCCTAGTCTGATCTCCTGTTTTTACATCTGTGCTATTAGGAGGTTGGTGCTAATAATAAATATGCTCCTTCCAATTCTCCAATTCTTTAATTATAAGATGCAGTGTCACCCCGAAGTCTCACGCCTTTCTGGTTCACTTTCACAGAAGAGAGCCTCAGACTAGACCCAGAGCCCATTAAGCATCGGAGCTACCCAGTGCCCTAATAAATTATCTGTAGCTCTGGGGTGGCTAGGTTCTCTTTTTCAGGGTCTCCCTGGATGGAAACGATCTTGTCAGCGAAGGCTATGACTGATGGGGAGAAGACCCCAAGGCTGCTTTCTCTTATCAAGTCAGAATAGCATGACAAGGGCATGATTCCGAAGAGGAAGAGAGCTTTATTCAGGGTATAAAGAGAAGAACTTGGCAAAGGGGTACGTGATAGACCCCAAAGCAATGCAATTACGTGTCTGCCTGCAGTTTCCCAGGACCAAGCTTTCCCACATTTCGCATGATAATGAGGGCTTTGCAAGTAGATACCTCGAGGAACGAGGAGAAGATGTCCTCGAGTAGCTTGGTTTATTAAGATGAGGCAGCCAACAGTTGTTTTCCATGATGGAGTCAGCTGTGAAGGCTTCTGGGATACCATGCCGGACTCACTGTGGGATGGTACGCTTGTGCAGTCTCCTTTCTAGGGTGGGCAACCCTCCTCTTCTTCGGCTTTAGCTTGGGGACGGTGGGCTTTTCACTGCACATGATTGGGATGTGGTTTCCTGAAAAACACACAAAAAACCAGCTTTAGTGGAGTCTGCGATAGGGTAGTTAGCTCACCCTTTCTGTTTGGTGGTTAACTCACCCTTTCTGAATGCGCGTTTAAGCAGCTCCCTGAGATTTTCCGTTGTCATTTAATTTAGGAGGATTTCTAAGATGATTTAGGAAGGGGCTCCTGGGTCCCCCCCTCTCTCTATGGATGAATCCATATGGATGCGTGAATCCTGGAGGAACTGCTCAACACAGCACTGAAAACAGGGAACCATGTCGAGCCCCAAAGAGAGGAAGCAGAACCCAGGCTTGCCTAGCTCTTATCTACTGGAGACTGTGGTCGGTGCTTTATAGACATCATCTCACTTAATTCTTATGAGCAGCCTTTCAAGTAGGGATGGTGGTCCCCCTTTTACCAATGGGCAGTTTATGATTCAAATAAAGGAAGGCACTGTCCCAACATCATTGAGCTAGGCAGTATTTTAGTCGGGCTCTCAAGCCGGATCTGTCTGACAACAAGGTTGCTCCCACTCAGTCACTGCTATCCCATTAACAGGTAGGGGTTAGGTACACAAACTCAGATGGGCCTCGGGGCGCAACACCAGGCCTCTTGACTCCTATTTCCATGGTGTATCCATCACTCCACTAATCTCCCTGATTCACTAAGACACAGAGATAGAGGAATTTGGCTCTTGAGTTTTAAGGCAAAGATCCTTACCCAAGCCCCTGGGTGCTCCTCTTTCAAGACTACATGGCCACACACCCCTGATTCTGATCCCTCTACATGCACCAGAGGTAGTGAGAGGTAGACTCGGGTCCTAAATGCAAGCAGAGTGAAAACCGGGGATTTAAGGTATGGGCTGGGAGAATTGAAGGTACCAGGAGAAGAGAAGAGCTAAAATGTTCAAGGGATGTGTATCTGGTCATTTCTTTCTTTCTTTCAGTGAAGCCAGGGAAGTGTCCCAAAGAGAAGGAGAAGTGTCTTTCTTTGAATTATACCTGCCAAACTGACTTCGACTGTTCCCACTACCTGAAGTGCTGCAGTTTCAACTGTGTGAAGACATGCTTGGACCCGTACAAAGGTAGTGGCACCCAGCTTGAACACCAAGACGCTTTTTATAGCCCTTCTTGCTCAAGAGCTAAGAGAACAATTTCCTCAGCTGTCAGGGCCACGGGCTCAGAGCTCATGCTTCTCTCAGTTCCTCAGACTCACAACCCTCAACTACAAGCCACGAGTCTAGGCATAGTGGACATCCACGGGGTACTATTAATGCCAGTCTACTCTTCAACATTCTATCATCCACAAAAAGTCTATGATTTCTTCCCTGCCCATTCATCATCAAGAAACTCTGCTTGGCTCTGGAGTAAAAACAAATCCGAGTCAGCTGAGATGTGGGTTCTTTTTGAACCCTTTGACCTCCCAGAGAGTGTTCTGGGAACTCAATATTGTTGTTGTTGTTGTTAGGTGCTGTGGATCCCAGTTCTGACCCACAGCGATCCTATGTGCAATGAGGGAAATACTGCTGGCTCCTGCACCACCCTCATGATTGTTCCTATGCTTGAGCCCATGGTTGCGGCCCCTGTGTTGATCCATCTCACTGAGGACCCTCCTCTTTTTCACTGCCCCTCCACTTCCCCAAAGTTGATACCCCTACCTAGGGACTGATCTCTCCTGACAACCTGGCCAACATGTATGAGACAAAGTCTCCCCATCCTTGCCTCCAGGGAGCACTCTGGTTGTATTTCTTCCAAGACATTTAGATTTATCCTTTTTATTCTCTGGCACCACGTCTCAAATGCATCAATACGTCTTCAGTCTTCTTTAGTCAACGCCCAACTTTCACACGCATTTTGAGGCAATGGAAAAACCAAGGCTGTGTCAGGTGCACCTCAGTCCTCAAAGTAACAACCTTGATCTGCAGGATCCTGAAGAGGTCTTGGGCAGCAGATTTACCTAATGCAACTCCTCTTTTGATCGCTTGACTACTGCTTTCTTGAGCATTGACTGTGGACCCAAGCAAGACAAAATCCTTGACAACGTCAACCTTTTCTCCACGTATCATGTTGTTACTATGGGTCCCGTTGTGAGGATTTGGGTCTTCTTTACATTGAGTCAGTCAGTGCTACGGAAGGCTGTAGTCCTTGATCTTCATCAGCAAGTGATTCGAGTCCTCTTTGATTTCAGCAAGCAAGGTCATGTCATCTTCAGATTGCGGGTTGATAATAGGCCTTCTTCCAACCTTGATGCCACACTCCTCTTCACACAATCCAACTTCTCTAATGATTTGCTCCGCAGAGAGATTGAACAAGGATGATGAGAGGCCACAACCCTGTAGTGCAACTTTGCCGGTTTTAAATCCTACAGTACAGTGAACCCTCATTTATCGCGGTTAATCGGTTCTAGACCCTACCGTGATAAATGAAATTCCACGAAGTAGGATTCCTTATTTGTAAATCAAATATTTTCGTAGTTAGAGCATAGAGGACATGAAAAAACACCCTTTAGTCACCATTACACTCATATTACCCAATTTATTAAACGAAAAAGGGAAAATACAGTAAAACATTTTGTACGTTACAATTATCAGTTATTATTTATTATATTATTTATGGCATCAAGCATGTACAGTATGAGCCAATCAGTGGCAGTAATGACAGAGCATGCGCTGTTACGCAAAAACCCCTATAGAGTGAAGCCGCGGAAGTCGAAGCGCGAAGTAGCAAGGGTTCACTGTATTCCCTTGTTCTGTTAGCACAGCCACTTCCTGATCCCTGCACATAGTGCAGCTTGAGAAGACAAAGCAAAATTATCATGAAATGTACAAATACTTAGAATTAGCAAGACAAAATGGAAGAACACGCTCAGCATATCTTACATGGAAAGACCTCAAGAAAAAAGTTAAGCCTCACGTTACAATATCGAAAGCTTCTATGAGCAAACTACGGACTGAAGAAGGAAGCATCAAAAGAAGATAGAACGAGTACCCAGACTCACTGTACCACAAAGAACTGGACCTGCCGTTTCCAGAGGTAACATATGCTGCTGAAGGAAGGAGTTCAAGCTGCACTGAAAGCATTAGCCAGAGCCAGGTTTCAGAAATTGTTGGAATACCGATGGAAAGGTTCCAACAAGCTGATGAAGACTTGGAAGTGCTTACTAGTTGATGTAAGACATTTGGAAGACGGCTCCTTGGCCAATTGAGTTCAACGCAGTGAACACATCATTTATAGCATATCGCGAGCTTTCGAAAGTCATTCTTGCGGTCACAGAGCTTCTTCTGGCTCTTAATGGTCCTCGAGGACAGGGTGGAACTGCCCCAAGCATTTCTTGAGGGGAGTAGAAAGCCTCATCTTTCCCCTCAAAGATGTATTAGCCCAACAAATGTCTAGCGCCAATGCCCTTTGGCCAAAGGCTACCATGAACACATCTAGAGTCGAACAAGTTGATGTATTACACATTCCAACATGGGAGAATTCTCACCCCAGAGAATCATGGGTAAACACCCTAGGAAGAAGTTGTTCTCATGAACCTATGAATGGATTTGGGCTCTGGTTAGGTGCTTTTGGAAAGAATATAAGGAAGTGGGATTTTGTTGTAGACTGAGTGTTGTCAATTCCATGAGTTGGGATGTCTTATCTCTTGAAGGAACAGAGTGAGTCTTATCTCTTGAAGGAAGAGACTGGTGATACAATTTTAATTGTCAGAGAAGCATCCAGCACTCAATATAGCAAAGAGAGAAACCCGGACTTGTGGGTTTCACAATGTTCTTGTTTTGCCTCCCTTTACCGTGCTCTTAACGTGACCTGGTTTGAGGACATGTTCTGTGGGGTTGGTTATGTCTAACGAAAGGATAACATGGCTTAGCCATGAGCATCAGGTCACTTTCCAGACACCCAGGAACTACTTTTGTTCGTCTTTATTTTTTAGTTTTCTATTTTTTTCCCTAGATACCAAGCACTATGTTGTTGCTGTTGTTGTTGTTGGGCGCCATTGAATTGGTTCTGACACATAGCTACCCCACGTTCCACAGAAGGAAACACTGCCTGGCCCTACAGCCTCCTCATCATTGTTCTTCTGTTTGAGTATTTTTGTAGCCACTGCATCAATCTATCTCGTCAAGGGCCTTTCTCTTTTTTACTTCCCCTCCACTTCACCAAGCATGATGTCCTTCTCCAGGGACTGGGCTCCCCTGATAACATATCCAAAGTACATGAAAGTCTCCCCATCCTTGCCTGTAAGGAGCATTCTGGCTGTCTTCTCCCTGGACAGATTTGTGAATTCATTTGGCAATCCACCACACACTTGCCATAGTCTTCACCAGCACCATAATGCAAACACATGGATTCTTCTTTGGTCTTCGTTATTCAATATCCAACTTTCACATGCAGATGAGGTGGTTGAAAATACCACGCCTTGGGTCAGGTCAGTTTAGTCCTCAAAGTGACCTCCTGGCTTTTCCACACTCCCTGGTCCGGTACCATCTTCACGAGGGTGTGTCTGAGGCCCTTGTTGCCATCACTGTCAATCCATCACGTCAAAGGTCTTCTCTTTCTCACTGCCCCTCGACGTTACCAAGCATAGTGTCCCTACCTTTCAACCAGTCCTTCCCGATGACATGCCCAAAGTACACGAGCCAAAGTCTTACCATCCTCATCGTGAAGGAACATTTTGGCAGCATTTCTGCCAACGTCGATTTGCTTGTTCTCTGGCAGCACCTGGTACGTTTGTTATGCATCGCTGATATCATAATTCAAAGGCATCCATTCTCCTCCAGTTTTCCTTATTCATTGCACAGCTTTCACAGGCACGAGGTGATGAAAAATACCACGGCTTGAGTCAGGTGCACTTTAGGGTTCAAAAGGGACACCTTTGTTTTTTAACCCTTCGCAGCGATCTTTCGTAGCATGTCTGCTCGGTGCAGTAGCTCGTTTGATTCACTGACTGCTGCGTCCACGAACATTGATTGAAGATCCAAACGAGTGAAAGCTGACAGCTCCAATGCTTTCCTCTGCTTGTTGTGATGTGATGTTTGGTTCCGGTTCCATTTAGTTGTAGTCGGTCCGAAGGCTGTCATCTTTGAACTACATCAGCAAATGCTGCAAGCCCTCGTCACAGTCAGCAAGCAAAGTTGTGTCATCTGCAGACCACAGGCTGTTAATGAGCCTTCCTCCAATCCTGAGACCATGATCGTCTTGGATTATTTGCTCAGCATAGAGGTTGAACAAGTACGGTGGTACACATCTTTCCTGATTTTAAAAAAAATCATTTTATTAGGGGCTCATACAACTCTGATCACAATCCATACATATATCAATTGTATAAAGCACATCTGTACATTCATTGTCCTCATCATTCTCAAAACACTTGCTCTCCATTTAAGCCCCTGGTATCAGCTCCTCATTTTCCCCTCCCTTCCCCTTCCCTCATGAACCCTTGATAATTTATAAATTATTATTTTGTCATATCTTGTACTGTCCGA